TTTTTTTTTTTTGTTCCGCAATAGAAAACAACAATGCCCATAAAACAAATATGGGCGTGTAGGGTTTTTTGAGCCCTACACGCCCATTTTTTTAATTTTTTTTTCATGCGTTAGAAAAAAAAATAAAAATCCTGCACCGAACTTGGCTGGTCGGCCGAGGCCGAGAGGCCGATTTCCCCCCCCCGGCCGCGGCCGGGCGTGCAACATAGCTCTCCCCTACTCTTCACCACACATTCTTGGTAACGCAACTGGGCTAGAGTTAAGTAAATAGTAAAAACACCCACCATGCTGGTTTAAGGGGCATACTCACAGTCGGACTTCCGTGGATGTACCTAACTGCTTTTACGGCCAGTCCTGGATGCATGCATCTGACCGCAGTGACATCGAGATTTCAGTGAAAAAAAGTGTTAATGTGAGTATGCTCTGAGTAAAGGTTAAGGGGAGGAACCCAGCTTGGTGGATTTTGATGAGCCGCGGTGGTCATGGATCTTCCGCCATAGCTAGATATCTAACCAAGAGGAGAGAAAAAGTGATAGTGAGGCTGAAATGATAGCTCTTTAAGTACTCGCAGTAAAGGGGATTAATCGGAAATTAATTCCTGTTCATTCATTTGTTTCTGGTCATAATCTACTAATTATTAATTAATTGATTATATGATTACATCATTACAATTATTATATATTATTTGAGGATGAGGGGATGAGGTGAAGACAATGATGTTGGTGAGAAGAGTTGGAGAGGGATATTTACATTAGTTCAAACTTCTCTTCTTCTTCTTCTTCTTCTTCTTCTTCTTTCTCCTTCTCCTTCTCCTTCTCCTTCTTCTTCTTCTTCTCTCTTCTTCTCCTTCTTCTTCTTCTTCTTCTTCTTATTATTATTATTATTATTATTATTATTATTATTATTATTATTATTATTATTATGATTCTCTCTTCTTCTTGTTGAAGGATCACAACAGCATCATCTTCAAGAAGATGAAGAGAGAAGAAGAAGAAGAAGAAGATAGCAAGGGGAAGGCGCCTTCCAGGTAGGGTGTAGTGTTCCGGCGTTGTTCTTTGAAACATGCAGCTGGGGTCATTGCTGGTTGGGTTGCCCGTTGGCGTGGGTGGCCCTTGCAGGTCCGGAAGGTGGGTAGACCAGTTCGAGTACACAGCCTGAGGTAGGTAGTGTGAGATGAAAAAATGTTGAGAGAAGAAAAGAGCATAGGAAAGGCAGCTCTCCCGCCATATGAGGAGAAGACAGCCTGCATAAAATAAATAAATAAATATGTATACATATATATAGGCAAATCAGAAAAGGAAAAAAAAGAAGGAAAGAACAAAAAAAAAGAAAAGAAAAGAAGGGAACAAAGCTCATCAGACATCCTGTGGTCAGTCAAAGCAAACTTAGCAAAGAGATGAATTGCAGATTAAGAAATTAAGAATTGAAATATATTTACATGCTGCCCGTCCCGCTCAAGGGAAGGAGGATCCAGGAAGCTGCAGGGAAAAAGTTCAGATTAAAAAATATATATATAGGAAAAGGAGGTGGAAGGCATTACCGAAAAACGACAACACGCAAACGACGGAAGGACAAGAAGTATGACAGACACGGAGATGGCAGTGGATTTGCGCCCACTCCATCCAGCGTCAATCCTCCCTCTCCCTCCCCCTTTTCCCCTGGGCCCTTCTCTCAACTCCTTGCCCCCTTTCCCCCTGTGCCCTTCTATCAACTCCTTTCCCCCTTTCCCCCTGC